GAGCTGAGATATCGAAACTCAAAAATTCGGCCGAAAAAAAAAACGACAGTGGTACCCCTTACGTTTTTTTTTTTTTGGGCGAAAAATTAAGTTTCTCCAATCTTCCCAAAACTCTGGATTCTGATAGAGGGCCATGAGACTTAGACCTGAGTGCAAAAATGGAGGCTCTAGCCCCTTCCAGAGCTGAGATATCGAAACTCAAAAATTCGGCCCGAAAAAAAAACGACAGTGGTACCCCTTACGTTTTTTTTTTTCGGGCGAAAAATTAAGTTTCTCCAATCTTCCCAAAACTCTGGATTCTGATAGAGGGCCACGAGACTTAGACCTGAGTGCAAAAATGGAGGCTCTAGCCCCTTCCAGAGCTGAGATATCGAAACTCAAAAATTCGCCCCGAAAAAAAACGACAGTGGTACCCCTTACGTTTTTTTTTTTTTCGGGCGAAAAATTAAGTTTCTCCAATCTTCCCAAAACTCTGGATTCTGATAGAGGGGCATGAGATTTAGACCAGAGTGCAAAAATGGAGGCTCTAGCCCCTTCCAGAGCTGAGATTTCGAAACTCAAAAATTAGGCCCCAAAAAAAAACGACAGTGGTACCCCTTACGTTTTTTTTTTTTTCGGGCAAAAAATTAAGTTTCTCCAATCTTCCCAAAACTCTGGATTCTGATAGAGGGCCATGAGACTTAGACCTGAGTGCAAAAATGGAGGCTCTAGCCCCTTCCAGAGCTGAGATATCGAAACTCAAAAATTAGGCCCAAAAAAAAACGACAGTGGTACCCCTTACGTTTTTTTTTTTCGGGCAAAAAATTAAGTTTCTCCAATCTTCCCAAAACTCTGGATTCTGATAGAGGGCCACGAGACTTAGACCTGAGTGCAAAAATGAAGGCTCTAGCCCCTTCCAGAGCTGAGATATCGAAACTCAAAAATTCGGCCCGAAAAAAAAAACGACAGTGGTACCCCTTACGTTTTTTTTTTTCGGGCGAAAAATTAAGTTTCTCCAGTCTTCCCAAAACTCTGGATTCTGATAGAGGACCATGAGACTTAGATCTGAGTGCAAAAATGGAGGCTCTAGCCCCTTCCAGAGCTGAGATATCGAAACTCAAAATTCGCCCCGAAAAAAAAAGACAGTGGTACCCCTTATGTTGTTTTTTTTCGGGCAAAAAATTAAGTTTCTCCAATCTTCCCAAAACTCTGGATCCTGATAGAGAGCCATGAGACTTAGACCTGAGTGCAAAAATGGAAGCTCTAGCGCCTTCCAGAGCTGAGATATCGAAATTCAAAATTCGGCCCGAAAAAAAAAACGACAGTGGTACCCCTTACGTTTTTTTTTTTTCGTGTGAAAAATTAAGTTTCCCCAATCTTCCCAAAACTCTGGATTCTGATAGAGGGCCATGAGACTTAGACCTGAGTGCAAAAATGGAGTCTCTAGCCCCTTCCAGAGCTGAGATATCGAAACTCAAAAATTCGGCCTGAAAAAAAAACAACAACAGTAGTACCCCTTACGTTTTTTTTTCTTTCGGGCGAAAAATTAAGTTTCTCCAATCTTCCCAAAACTCTGGATTCTGATAGAGGGCCATGAGACTTAGACCTGAGTGCAAAAATGGAGGCTCTAGCCCCTTCCAGAGCTGAGATATCGAAACTCAAAAATTCGGCCCGAAAAAAAAACCGACAGTGGTACCCCTTACATTTTTTTTTTCGGGCGAAAAATTAAGTTTCTCCAGTCTTCCCAAAACTCTGGATTCTGATAGAGGACCATAAGACTTAGACCTGAGTGCAAAAATGGAGGCTCTAGCCCCTTCCAGAGCTGAGATATCGCTAACTCAAAATTCGCCCCGAAAAAAAAACGACAGTGGTACCCCTTACATTTTTTTTTCGTGCGAAAAATTAAGTTTCTCCAATCTTCCCAAAACTCTGGATTCTGATAGAGGTACACGAGACTTAGACCTGAGTGCAAAAATGGAGGCTCTAGCCCCTTCCAGAGCTGAGATATCGAAACTCAAAAATTCGGCCCGAAAAAAAAACGACAGTGGTACCCCTTACGTTTTTTTTTTCGGGTGAAAAATTAAGTTTCTCCAGTCTTCCCAAAACTCTGGATTCTGATAGAGGACCATGAGACTTAGACCTGAGTGCAAAAATGGAGGCTCTAGCCCCTTCCAGAGCTGAGATATCGCTAACTCAAAATTCGCCCCGAAAAAAAAAACGACAGTGGTACCCCTTACGGTTTTTTTTTCGGGCGAAAAATTAAGTTTCTCCAATCTTCTCAAAACTCTGGATTCTGATAGAGGGCCATGAGACTTAGACCTGAGTGCAAAAATGGAGGTTCTAGCCCCTTCCAGAGCTGAGATATCGAAACTCAAAAATTTGGCCCGAAAAAAACCCGACAGTGGTACCCCTTACGTTTTGTTTTTTTCGTGCGAAAAACCTGAGTGCGACCTGAGTGCAAAAATGGAGGCTCTAGCCCCTTCCAGAGCTGAGATATCGAAACTCAAAAATTCGGCTCAAAAATAAAACGAAAGGGGTACCACTGTCGGTTTTTTTTCGGGTCGAATTTTTGAGTTTCGATATCTCAGCTCTGGAAGGGTCTAGAGCCTCCATTTTTGCACTCAGGTTTAAGTCTCATGGCCCTCTATCAGAATCCAGAGTTTTGAGAAGATTGGAGAAATTTAATTTTTCGCCCGAAAAAAAAAACCGAAAGGGGTACTTAGACCACTGTCGTTTTTTTTTTTTCGGGTCAAATTTTTGACCACATGAGACTTAGACCACTGTCGTTTTTTTTTTCGGGTCGAATTTTTGAGTTTCGATGTCTCAGCTCTGGAAGGGTCTAGAGCCTCCATTTTTGCACTCAGGTCTAAGTCTCATGGCCCTCTATCAGAATCCAGAGTTTCAAGAAGATTAGAGAAACTCAAAATTTCGACCCAAAAAAAAAACGACAGTGTTCCCCCTGTCGTTTTTTTTTTTTTTTTGGTGCGAAAAATAAGTTTCTCCAATCTTCTTGAAACTCTGGATTCTGATAGACGGCCATGAAACTTAGACCTGAGTGCAAAAATGGAGGCTCTAGACCCTTCCAGAGCTGAGATATTGAGATATTTATAATGGCATAAATGCTACGTGAGAGGTCCATATCTCGGCTCTGGAAGGGTCTAGAGCCTCCATTTTTGCACTCAGGTGTAAGTCCCATGGCCCTTTATCAGAATCCAGAGTTTCAAGAAGATTGGAGAAAACTATTTTTCGCACCAAAAAAAAAAAAACGACAGGGGTAACACTGTCGTTTTTTTCGGGTCGAAATTTTGAATTTGTTTTGAGTCTCTAACACACTTCCTAAATTCAAATTAGGCTGCATAGTTTAGATCAGCCAGAACTGGGAACACGTCCCCTAAATCTTGATGTACTTGGTACATCAAAAGAAGGATGGCGTCTACACTAATATCACTTTCTCTTTTTATCCCTCTATTGGGACCCTCTATGGTGGACCTGTGCCTGGACCCATCCCGACTGATCCTTAAGTGCCGGCCTCATCGACACGACAGCCATCGGCATTGATCCTCAACATCTCGTCTCCAAACCGGCATGACTTCGACTTTGAAACAGATGGAAATGGACAATTTTCTTAATGTTTCGATCCAATTTGTTTTGTAATTGTTGTGCTTTTGTTGGCCAGAGGAGAACTGGCCCCCAACTGAGCCTGGGTTCTCCCAATGTTTTTTTCTTCATTCAATCACCTGATGGAGTTTTGGTTCCTTGCCACTGTTGCCTTGCTTTTGGCTTGCTTAGTTGCGGACATTTAATATTCAACAATATTATTGATCTGTGTTGTATTATTTTCATGTTATCACTGTGAAGCTGCTTTGATACAATCTGTATTGTAAAAAGCACTATATAAATAAATGTGACTTGACTTGACTCCTGAGTGCAGTAAAATAGTTATCACGACAGGAACTTTAGTTCTATTCACTATCAAATATACTACCCGAAACCCCATTCAATAGATTGCAGGCGGGATTGGGCATGGGAGTGAGTAATTAATTACTTAATTTTCATTTTTGGGTGAACTAACCCTTTAATGAAAAATACTTTGTTTTGTTACACATCCCTGCAACATTTTAGACAAAATTTAACTGTTTACTAACCATCTAGCACTTCAGATCTGAATAAGGGAACATAAGGTGCATCCAAATTTGTGTAATTTTTAGGTAACAATCCAGTAGACTGGAAGGATTTTACAATTGAGGAGCACATACAATGTCTGATTCCCTAGTCAGTGCCCTGAATACTGAACTATAGGGACTTGACTTATACCTTAACCCTCACAGCCTCATTATAATCGGTTTCAATACTGCATCTGTCCTGACTAAAATTCACACCAACAACAAAAGCTATGGCTGTATCTGAAATCACATACTTCTCAACTTTATAGTAGTTGGAAAAATTCCAACTTCACAGTATATAAAACAGTAGGATGAAAAATACCCGGATGACTACCTTCAGCAAGATTCTGAAGTGCGCATCCAATGGACACTGTACTATCCCATGAGGCCACTGGAGAGGATTTGCGAATGGCAATGAAGCTATGCAGCTTACGCTGAGAGATCACATGTTAATGATAACATAGCAAATGTAGTACATTCAGATTACATTAATACTACACACATTATGCATTCAAAAGGACTTGGAGAGAATGCTATTTCAGACACAACCTATAACAATACAGTATAAGCATCCAGACCAAAGGATAATAACACTATTTTTATTCTATGCTATGTTATTTTCCATGCTTTAAATTTGGATGGATTTTGATTGCCTGTCGATGTTTTAATTGTTCATTAGGTGGAGAAGACGCTATGAAAAACATGATTCCAACCATATTGTCATTATCACTAGTTGTGGTGTGGACTCCACTAGTCTCTTGGTTATACTTGGTGAAACTTGGTTATAGTTATTTTCTATCTTGCTGTGAATGAGCCTTTAGGTTTATTAGCTGATTGCTGTATCTATAGGTGACACACCTGTGTGGGGGAGTCAGGGTCCGAGACTGGGGTCAGAGTCCAGATGATGCTGAGTCTGAACAAGGGCATCATGGTGAAGAACGAACAGGGCAGTGTAACAGAATCTCCCCGCACCACCTCCAGACCAGATTCCCTCACCGTCACCCGGACTGCACCTGGAGGGGGTGAAGGGAAACAGTCAAGCTGGATCATCTTCAATTTAAGTTTTTTTGCGCTTGATTTGAGGCCGTTTTCATATTGCAAACAATTGGCAATGATAAATCACTATCAGGCCCGTTTATTCTAGAGTTCGGTTGTGTAGCTCCTTCCATCTCAATGGTTGTCTCATTACTGTAATGATGAGTCCCACCCCCACCGCTCTGCCACCCCCAGGCCTTTGTGTGTGTGGGAAAGCAAAGTGACACTAAAGCCTTAATTACAGCTGACAGCCTTGGCAAAGACAAATACACCAACTGAGAGAACAATGGGGTTCAATTCTTCTAAAAAAAAAAAACCTGACCAAAACTACATATAGCCTACTTCAATAATTGTAACATTACAGATAAAACACCAATTGTAAAAATGCTCAAATGATCATTGTTTTTTATTATACCTCACTCAAACATTTCATATAATATACTGATTTCAAAATCATTTGAAAACCATGGAGACATTGACTTGTTACAGTATTTAAAACCCTGGATAAATCAACTGTCTTCAAAGTTATCAACTGTCAAAGTTATCGAGCAACAGTTCTCTTCAGTGGTGTAAAAGTTCTTCTCCCCAAGTCACAAGACCATATTTAACAGCCTAATAATGTTAACAATAAAATGAACACGTACCATATTGCGGAAAAGTGGACACCAAGCAGGCCAGCCAGAGGAGTCTCCATCCTGGACAGCCCATCTCTGAGATGATCCGTGTGTGCTTTCCTCCATACAGGTCAGTGTGTTTTCCCCTTCAAACCTCAGTCACTGGCTCTGACTGGACAGGCATAACTGGGTTATTGGCCATCAAAGGGGGGCAGTTCTCGTTCTCTCTCCCTTTATCTTCTGCCCTCCCTCTATCCCCCGTAACCACACACACTGAATAGTTTACATGACCCTGTAGTGTTGAATAAAAAGCATCTGCTAAAGACCTACACATATGATGATCCCTTTGGATGACTAAAATATAAAAGCCAGCTACTAACACACTATATTTCATAAGTTTGGGGGAGGTAAGATTTTTTGTTTTGGTAAAAAAATACAGTAATATTCAGAAATATTGAATTAAACCAAAAATATATAGTCCTGTGTTGTCAATGCAAAATTTTCAGCATCATTACAGTTTTCAGTGTCACATGATCCTTCAGATATCATTCTAATTAGCTGATTTAACGTTGAAAATCAGAATGTCAGAATCTAAAAATTATTTACTTGCAAATAGATTACATTTGAAATATTCATCATGTTCATCATGAACTCCAGTCTGGGAAACCCGGACGTAATGTACATGTTGTTGATACCAAAGAACAGAATAGATCTTGTTTCTCTTTGTATTTTAATTTTCACTGGGGTACAAGATGAACCTATTCAAATCAATGTGATCTAAAAACTAGTCACAATACATAACCTAAAATAAGTACTCTAATTTACATTACTAACTACTAACTGACTACAATTTGTAAAGAATGTATATTACACTTTTTAAACGATGAACTTTAGTTGAACCTTCTTACAGACAACACAACATTTTCAGCATTCAAACTGAAAGTAAACTCAAACAGAGAGATTGCAGTTACAATAGATTTATTACTTCTTTGCAAATTTTAAAATACCAAGCTTTATAGACCAAAATATACAATACTGACTTTTCACATGTAGAGTGTGTTATCAAAATAACCAAATGTGTACGGCAATCATACTGATCAATATACTGCATCATGCAAACTAACAGATTTAGAAAGGCAATAATGGTTCACAATTTTCAAACATGGTCTCATGTCACTTGGAATGTACAAAATAAACCATATTATGAATAGCCTTATTATTACTTATCACAAATAATCCCAAATGCCAGTGATCACCTTTAGTAATGGTAGCAGATTAATAAATTAATAGCAACAAAGTAGTTCAACTCAGAAACCACAGTGGAATGGATTAGGTGCCCATAGCAGCTTAGACAAACCCTGATGTAAGCACATATACATACTGTACATGCTTTGATTACTACATACATATAGATCAAATTACATAAGCAGCAAATATATATTTTATACAGTAGAATATTTCATACATAGACAAAAGTATCCTTAAATAAAGTATCTTAAAGGTTGAGAAGCTTTGGATGTCAGATTCAGTCAGGTGAATTAGCACTAATCACATTAAAGTTGTACAAAGGTTGAGGACTTTAAATTTACTAACATCAAGTACCATTTAAATTAATACAATATTAGGATATTATTGCGTCATGAATCGCACAGCAGACAAAACACTGTTAGAAAAGGTTCATAAATAATATCTCAACCCACTGATGGCCCATCCTCAAGCCTTTTTCGGTCTGCTCTGGCCCTCTATAGGTCAAAACAAGATCAAATAAACCCACTGATCAGCGAGCTCCCACTACGGCTCAGGTATCTCTCGTGTACAGGAAGCCGGACCACTCATGAACTATTAGCCCTCAATTCCAACTGAAGGCTAAAACAAGCAGGGTCAGTAAACTTTACCATGTTATTTCCCAAGCCAGAGGTCACTAAGAAGATGGTTTGTTGTACCCAAACAGCCCCACAGGAATGTACTTCACATGAGTGGGCCACTGAGATGCCAGCTGGAAGAACTTCACATCATTCCACTCCATCCCATCTACAGACACTGAAACATTAAACACGTCCATCTCGTGAGTAAAGTGCGTTAACATACAGAGGGTGCAACTGTCTGAGACATTTAAAAGCTAATGTAAACCTGAATTTTGACATTTAAAACAAAAGACAGCTTATGACAAAATTAATATGAAATATTTAAGATTCTGCATTATTATAGGTCACTGTTAAAATAAGCAAATGTGTGACATTGATCGTGTAGACAACAAATACCCCCCAAAAATTCTAAAGTTCATAAATGCACATTTTTTAATTAACTTCTCAATTATATGAAATATGATAATATGCAGAATATTCAATTAGGAAAATGCAAACCATAAGCATCATAGACATTAATGTTCAGGTTAGTGGACATATCACAATGGTTTTTTCCAATAAACTTACCACTGTATTGATTTATGTGTTATCCTCTGTGGTGAGAGTTCGTTTGGACAGCGGTTTAAAGTACTTTTGACTTCAAAAAACGCGTTGGATTGTGTTGTTAACCAAGACCTTTTGCGGTTTAATTGACTTACATCTGTATCAATGTAAAATTCTATAAAAGTTGAACGGACATCATTGACATTATCTGTTCTGTGTTACATATTTGTACAGATTTATGCCGTCTTACAGCCACTATTTTTGACCAATTTTTTCTGGGTTATTACAAAAGTTAACAGGCTCATTCATTTTGTGTCCTGTTGTACCTCTTAGACTGGTTTGTTGATTCTTGGCAGAGCAGATGAGTCTGGTGATGCCTTCAATGATCTGACTCTTTGACTCTGTGTCTCTCTCCTTTGGCTTCTTCCCTAGGAAGATGGTTGGAACTGAAGAGAGGCGAAATTAGTAAATATAGTTATGTGTGGATATGGATAAATATGGTGACTATCAACAATAGTAGCACTGCAAAAAAAGAAAAAAAGAAAATGAAAACACTGTATAGAGTCATGAAAACAAAGGGATCTTTAGCAAAAAGACAAATGTGCATTTTCTGTGCATATTCAGTGAATAGTCTCACCTTTCTTGTTCTTCTCCTTGGTCACCACAGTCATGGACATGGTGTTAGAGCCAGTCTGGAGCTCAATGTTGCCGAAACCGGGCAGTCGGCTAACCTGCAAGGATCTGAACGCACACCTCAAAGTCTTCTTACTGTCTCTCTGCTCTCCGTCTTTGCGTCTCTCAAGCCCGGCAGACACCCAGTAATCCACCTGAAGCCCAATCGCATCCACGCCATGAGACATGTTGGGGCTCCTAGATAACAGAATCAGTTTGACCATATTTACCAGGCTAGCATTTTTTAACAGAGGTAAGCCATAGAATTGTGAGAAACAGCAAAGCGGTGCAGATTTCTGAACAATATTGTACACAAACCCTAGCGCAGCAAGTCCACCGCTTAGTGAGGGTGATGGAGGAGGTGTTGCAGAATCTTTCATCATCCCAGTGGGAGATACGTGAGCAGGTGGAGACGTCGAGGGAACTGCCAAGCTCAAAGCTAAACCTTCTTCACAATCTCCAACTACAATGAGTCAAATAAACATTTGGGGGAAAAACTGCAATAATAGTAAAATGCAATTTCATTGCAAAGTGACAAGATCATTTCGAAAAGAAATATAAATGCTTGCTGTTATTAATAATTGGCCAGTCTAATAAAGAACATTAAACAACAAAAATGTTTCAATACTATTGCATACTAAAATGTGCATCTTTAACTTTAGTGGTAAGTCGGACCACATTGGTTCCATTTTTGATTCGCTAAAAACTAAACCAGCTCATAATAAGAGTAACTTGTTGAGGAATCAAACCACATCTGGTTGCACTGTCTGGTTCTTTGTTCCCAACTCTAATGTTAATACAATATTACAGGTGATTTTTTATAAAAGGATGCAAAACAAAAAAGAAAGACAAACCTGAAGATCCTGGGCTGCGCTCTACCAATCGCTCTACCTTAACCAACTGTTGCAAGAAAAAAGGATCATTGAAAATTAAAACACTAGTGTTAAAGGGGTCATATAATGCTATTTTCAAAGTTAATTGAAGATTAAGATCCTTTAATTACAATTCTCATTAGTATTTAAATTGATCAAAAGTAACAGTAAATACATTTAGAATGTTACAAAAGTACATTTTGCTCTTTTAAACTTTCTATAAATCAAAGAATTCTGAGACCTTGGTGAGACTTCTTTTTTTTTTAAAAATGTACCTACCACAAACTTTTAAATGCTAGGCTTACATTAACTAAAAATGTACTCACACCCACAAAAGGAACAAAATTTTGGTAGGAATCTTCATCTTGCCTAGAATAGTAAAAAACACAATAAGTTAAAATATAATATAAAATATTTGAAATGATGAGGTGATAGAAATCATCTTACATCTTTTGTTTGCAGGTCAGCATGGCCTCAGCAATGGGGAGCTGATGAGTAACTACAGATCCGTTAATGTACTGTAAAATTCGTCCAGTCACATCCAAGTCAGCAGAGGAAGAAGCTGAAGAGATACAAGAACAAATCCTATGGACAATCGTCAATATAAAATACATCTCAATGGGCACAGAAAAGTGAAAAATAAATAACCGTACTGGGGTTAAACAAATGCATTACTTACCAGTCTGGGGAGGCTCTGGGCGACTGAAAAACTCTCTCCATGAGCCGTCCAGGAAGGAAGAACTGTAGCGATTGTCCAGAGAGCCCAGGTGTTTGGCCACAGGGTGAGAGCCTGTTGAGAAACACACGTGATAAAAACTGCAAAAGCTTTCCAAAAAACCCAACTGGAAGTTAAAAAAAGTTCAGGCTTTATGTGAAATATCATTGTGTTGTTAGAGGTTATCTTTATGCACCTAAAGGCACCACAAGGAACTTCATGTGGCTGAGCCAGTCAGACATCTTGTTGGCGAGCTGAGAGACAAAGAATCTCAAGACGGCTCCTAAATAGCTTTGACCTCCAACCGCCACAACCTTAACTGGTTTGGGCATGATGGAGTTACAGTTGCAGCTGTGAGAATAAAGAAGGAACAATATGCACCACACTGCAGACACAGGAACTGTTAGAATGCTAAAATCTATGAGATTCATATTGACAACCATTAATATTAACATCATGAGATCCGACAGCCAGGCATCACTACAAACCATGGTCGTTTCACATTTGTGTTTATTCTCACTGAC